CAATATAACAATACCCGCACAAAAACCTAAAGAAAATCTATTAACACGCATTTGGATAATTGAGCATGAACCCTCGGCATATATTCAGTAATTTTTCTCTATTGACACTACACTTAAGGCTAGTTTGGGGTTGATGCATTGTGAAAAAAAACTTTGTTTACAGAAGTAAGAGTAGAGCTGCTTCTACTTTCTGCTATTTTGGACCTTTGATTTTGACAAAAAGCTTTTTTTTTTTTCTTTTTTTTTTTTTTGGTTTTTCATTTACCAAACACAATTTAGCCTCAATTTTTTAGAAAACTGTTTTTAAAATAATTTCACCAATGCCAAACCAGCCCTTACTATAGTAAGGTGTTGAAAGTACAACACCAACCCAGAAGATTAAGGTCCAGCCCATTATGAAAGTTTTGGTATTCTAGAAGAATTATGCATGGGATTTTGCTAGAGAACTCTAGCAAGCATGTCAGTGGGCAGCTGCAAATGAACTAGATTTTTCTAGTTCAAATATGCATGTTAAGTAGGTGATTAAGCTAGAAAGTTCTAGCAGCTTGTAATATTGTGTGGCTATTATGCAAACCCTAGGTCGGTTAAGCTCACCTATAAATAAGTGAAGTGCTATGCTTAACAAACCAAGTAAGCAAGAATAAGAAGTAAGAGTGGTCTTGTAAGTGAGTAGTCTTGTGAGAAGTGTGAGTGTTCTAGAGTGTGTATCTGGAAAGTGTGAAAGTGTCATAGCTTCTTAAAGTGCGTCCTTGAGAGTGTGTGTTGTAATATTTTGTCAGTGTAATATAAGTAATTTGTTTACTTGTTTGTCTCTCCAACACTTGTGTTAGAGTTCCACTGTCCCCTTAACAAATTCTATGTAAATTTACCAATTACTTATGAATTACGCATGCAAATTTGAAGGTTAGGTTTTCCTTATGCATATTCTACTTATGGCATTCAAGCTAGAACGTATACCAAACATGCAATCCGTTTGTGGTATTCAGATCAAATATAAACATGCATGACTTATTACGCTTTGTGAAAACCCTTCGAAAAACCATGCAACCCCTAAGATGTGGCATTTGCCCTAGGTAAAATTACAACTATCAATCACTAGAAGCAATACTCAATTCCCTGGTGGCATTCCGACTGAATTGCTTCCGATTACTTATCTAAACATTCTAATGGCAGCTAAGCATTAAGATATAGAGACAATTTAAAGCACAGTGAAAGCATGCATGTATAATCATAAGCAATTAAGTAAAAACTACATATTCATGCTAAGGTTCAAGGCATCGCCCTAGCAAACGAAAATTAGTTATGAACAATCATAAAACAAAATACTATTAAAAACATGGATAGAAAACACCTTGAAAATACAAAGAGTCAAAGCCTGGCTAAATTCTCCACATACGTTCTCCCCTCTTCGAATGGCTAAAAAGTCTTATTTATACTACTAAAAAGTAAAACCCTACCTTGAAAAGGTCTTAGAATAAAAATAGGAAACATAATTAAATCATAAAACAGAAAATAAAAGGTTTCCTATTTGAACTAGAATTCGGATTTCATCAGAAAATCCATCTTTTGACCCACCAAATCAACTCCGATTTGGTCCCAAAAGGTCTCTTTTGAAAGCTGAAGACGTCCCCTACAAACCTTCAGAATGAATCTTCCTCAAAATATGCCATCATGACCTCCAAAATACCCAAAACGTCTAGAAACATCAATCTGGGAAAGCTGCGCGCTGGGTCTTAATTTCATCGCCACGGTCAAACGGCTTGGTAGAAAAATCTAGAATTTTGATACAATCATCTTGAAAGGCACACGAACATCTTCCAATTAGAATCACTCTAAAATTCATCTGTTTGAATACTTTTTGGTCCAGAGGAAGTCGAATGTCCTATATTGAAAATATATAACAAAGTATCAAAATTCTACCAAAATAACCAATAAATTAATACTAAGATTAGGGTAAAGTATATGGTATAATATGGACTCATTATGTATCGACACCTCAAGATCTTAGGGACGCTAACAATGGAGGGACAACAACTGTAGTCAATCTATGTAATGTCAGTAGAAACTGCATACGTAGACAAGACAAGAAAGAACGAGACATTAGATTTATGGCACATCAGATTGGGTCACGTTAGCTGTCACAAGCTAAATGTGATGATGAAGAAGTCAATGCTTAAGGGGCTACCTCAGCTTGACATGAGAACAGACACGGTTTGTGCAGGATGCCAATATGGTAAAGCACATTAACTACCATACGAAGAGTCAAAGTTTAAAGCAAAAGAACCATCTCCAGGTATGTATGGATTTTCTTTATGAAAGAAAAATCTGAAACATTTTCAAAATTTAAAGAGTTTAAAGAGACAGTTGAAGGAGAAGTGGGAGAGAAGATCTGTTGCATACGCATGGATAATGGAGGAGAATATACCTCAAATGAGTTTTCCCAGTATCTACAAGAATGTAGAATACGTCACCAATTCATATGTGCCAACACTCCACAACAGAATGGTAGTGGAAAGAAATAATTGACATCTTGGAAAAAATATGTCGGAGTATGTTACATGTGAAAAATGTACCAGGAAGGTTTTGGGCTGAAGCAATGAGAACTGCAGCTCATGTGATCAACAGGCTTTCTTAACCAATGTTAGAATTTGTCTCACCCTTTAAGAAACTGTGGGATATGAAACCTACAGCTAGTTACTTTCACGTATTTGGTTGTGTGCTACGTATTTGTTCCAGGTCACCTACGTAGCAAGTTTGACAAAAAGGCAGTCTGATCTATCTTTATGGGATACGACAGCCAAAGAAAATGATGGAAATGTTGTGATTCTACGACTGGAAGGTGTTACACATAAAGAGATGTGGTGTTTGATGAAGCATCTTCTTGGTGGTCCTCAGAAAATGAGGCGTTGCCTGATTCGAGAGAGATTAAAGATAAGTTGTAGCAAAAGATGGGGGAGCAAACTGTTCAAATTCAATCGAGACAAAGTGAGTCTGCGGATTCGCTTGATGGTGATGATGTTAAGCAAGCAATACCTCAAAACCCTTGGCAACCTGGTGTATATCAACAACCAGAAGAAGAAAAGACCTAGTGAAATGGAAGTATCAACTCCACAATCACAACTAAGGAGATCAACGAGAATCCAGAAGCCAAATCCTAAATACGCCAACGCAGCCATAGAAGAAGAAGTTGTTGAACCTGAATGGTTCCAAGTTGAGAGAAGAGGTCGCTGCAGTGGAGCTAAATCAAGCTTGGAATCTAGTGTCAAAGCGAAGAGATGTGAAACCCAAATCACGCAAACGGGTGTACAAGAAAAAGCTTTGTCATCAACTCACCATGGAAGAAAGAATGAGCTGGTGTTGAGGGGGAGTGTTGAAAGTACAACACCGGCCCAAAGATTAAGGTCCAGCCCATTATGAAAGTTTTGGTAATCTAGAAAAATCATGCATGGGATTTTGCTTGAGAACTCTAGCAAGCATGTCGGTAAGCAGTTGCAGATGTACTAGATTTTTCTAGTTCAAATCTGCATGTGAAGTGGGTGATTCAGCTAGAAAGTTCTAGCAACTAGTAATATTGTATGGCTATTTTGCAAAGCCTAGGTCTGTTAAGCTCAACTATAAATAGGTGAAGTGCTATGCTAAACAAACCAAGTAAGCAAGAATAAGAAGTAAGAGTGGTCTTGTAAGTGAGTAGTCTAGTGAGGAGTGTGAGTGTTCTAGAAAGTGTGAGAGCGTCATAGCTTCTTAAAGTGTGTCCTTAAGAGTGTGTGTTGTAATATTTTGTGAGTGTAATATAAGTAATTTGTTTACTTGTTTGTCTCTCCAACACTTGTGTTAGAGTTGTGTTCTCTAATTTTTCCTCAACACAAGGTTGACATGCCAAACACTCAGTAGTTTTAGCGTTGATATTTTTTTTTTTTTTCGAAGAAATGATAAAATTTTATTAAAACAAGACAAGGAAATACAAGAAATAGATAAGAAATCCACACCAACTAGCAAAACTAGCTAAAACGTCTCAAGTTGGACTACTTTAGAGGTAACTAAAGTTGAACCAAATTCATTTTCCTTGCTAATAAGAAAGAGAATAATCACCAAATTCATTTTAGCGTTCATATTACGCTCAAGGCAAACACCAAACGTCATTTCGCCACAGAATAATGCATGCAGCACACAACCTAAAGCAACTCTATTAACACGCATTAGGATACCCATCATTAGTTAAGCAAACAACATTTGTGATGCAGTTCATCTCAAAACAAAACTGATCTTGTTCAACCCTATACAGTAAATTATAAACAGCATCACCATTTACATGAAATAGGGACAATAGTCAGTTTCGAGGATTCGAAGTTGTGTGACAAAGCCCACCAATAAAGAAAATGCCTCAAATCATATCATGGATAATAAACAAAAACCGAAATCTGAATGCATATATGTAAGTAGAAACCAATTTCATCATAAATTCTTTAGGTTTTAATAAGCAAAACTAAAGATTGTAAATTCAAAACGATGCTAAATAGCGTAAGAGGGATAACAATAACCAAAAAAATATCCATGTTTCCAGAGACATGAAAATGCAAACAAGACCTAGGTGTTGGTGGCTCTGGTGTAGATCTGCCGGCTGGCGTGAGCCGAGACCATCCGAATCAACCCTTGGGCCATCAACTCCCTGATCGCCTTCCTCGCGAGCGACCCGTTGATCCTGAGGCGGTCAGAGAGAATGGAAAGCGTGATGAGCTTGTACTTGGGAGCCTCCATGAGTAGCTTGTCGTAGGTGCCCTGGTCGAAGAGCACCATGTTGTTGACCTTCTCCTTTTGCTTCCCTTTGCTCTACTTCTTCTTCTTTTGCTTTCCTCATTCGGACTTCGCCAGCTTCAACGGCGGCGGTGCTTTATCCTTCTTTGACTCCTGAAATTTATGGAACTCAAATTTTTAGAGGCATTTACATAAATAGGTAGAGATCAATATGGAAGCTAAACTTGGTTGTGGAGTTGTCCGTACCATTGGATCGGTTTACGGCAATAGAGGGAGGAAGAATGAGAAAGATGACGGTTTGGGGCGGGAGAATGAGTGAATGCGAATGAGATGGAGGGGGTTGGGGAGCAGGTAAGATCAACTCCACCAGAGGCTATAACCTGGTGGACAGGCGACCCAAAAAAACCCAATAGCCTCCCTTCCTTGCTCCAGCCAATGCGGATTGGGCTCGGGGAAGCCTAGTGGACAGGCCAGGCTGGAATAAACAGCCCAAGAGCCTGAGGACCAGCTAATGCCAGGCTGACGTCAAGGTGACGTCAACCACGAACTGTAGAAAGATCGGGAAAAAATGGCTTTAGGTTACGGCCCCAACGACGCAGCCTGCTTCAGGTTCTTGCTCATTTTGTTGGTGACATATGGCCTCATGGCGGCGTTGGTTCACTCCATACTCACCATGCACTTCATCAAGCCTCTTGAGATCGACGCCCCTGATCGTTTCTCGAAAGCCAGAGCTTTCAAGCACGTTCGAGTCTTGACCCAAGAGATCGACGGTCGCCAGGTGAGCTCATTTTTCAATGCCCTCACTGCATTTTTCTCCCTTTTTTGTCCAAATTGAAGAAAAAACAATTTGAGATTTTTTTTCTGGGTTTGATTTGAATTCGCCATTATTATTGCTATTGGAAAGATTGGGTACACTGTTTGGTTTATGGGTTGAGGTACTTATTTGCAGTTTCCTAATTTGTTGATAAGAAGGGCGTCCTGGCTTGACAGAAGCTGCTCGATACATTACAGGGCAATTGGAAATGATAAAATTATTTTGTATTATTTTATAAAATAAAAAATATTAATATATTATTGCATATTGCCATGACTATTCAGTTTATAGGTGGAGATGCAAAAAGAAATTACTATTCATTAAAGGCAATTACGGTTCACTAGAGGAGATTGAATAGGAAGTTGCCCTAGAGGGCCTTTGTCACACTGGAGTTGCTCTAATAGTAGGAGGACTAAATTTAGAAACTAAATTTACAAACTAGATTATTTGTCACCAATAAGAATAAGCATATTTATCAATGTGTAAGGAATAAGCCAATCATCAACTTTCATGTTCTTTAGTTTTCAAAATTTTATCTACAAATTTAATCTTCTTAGCATAGAGCAAGGCTTTCGTTGCTATCGTATTACAAATTTACAAGTTTCTGCACCATTTGGGGCCCCTTGGGTTTGACAGACCAAGCCACGCATGAAATTAAAGATCCAAAATACTTGGGTCTAACTTCTCTCACATTGCACCATGAAGTTTTGAAATTATATCAATTTATTGGGTGCGGCTTTCATGGTCCTTACCATTTTATTGTTCAGGTATTTTCTAAATGAATTTAGCATTTTTTTTTTTTTTTTTTTTGAAAAAAAAAATTCCATTCCATTAAGAAAAGACAAAGGTTGTGATTGGGCCAGCATATATTAGCCGGCCAACACAAAGGATTGCAAGCAACCCAAAAAAATTAGGAAACCCCAAGTACAAAATAAGCCAAACCCAATAACCGAAACAAACATAACATAAACCTTAATCTATATAACAGCTGAACACCACCGCCGCCACGAACATTTTACCATTAGCCACCAAGGGCAATAAGGAAAACAATCGAGTGGTTAATTCAATCAAGATATCGCCACACAAAACTTCAATCATGTTGTTGGAAACAAATTCGCAAACATCTGCAAATGGAGATCCAACGAAATTGTTCATAATATACGACGAGGGGAGAATAGGGTTGATTGGGCGATGTGGTTGAATCCATATTGGATTGCTTGTATATCTCCGAGAAGGAAAATCAAACCACAGATGTAGTTCTAAGTAAGAATGTTGTGATGAGCAATGCATCGTGAACCATCCTTGACGAATAGCCTATGGTGAGGTGTCAAGGAGATGAGTTCTCCATGGACATGTCTAAGTGCAAACGACTGCAAATATGTAGGATGAGCATATGTTAAGCGTAGGGAGAATATGTGTACACTGGAGCGAATGAAGAGTCCAGAGAAGGTGAAAAGTTGTCTGAGAGTCAAAATAGAAGTCTCCTAATAAATACCCAAGCTAGAGTATTTATAAAGATCTTGAGAATCCTTGTAGGGAGAGTAATCCCAATTAAATTGAGAGATTATCTAAGAGAAAATCTCGGATAAGATATTCAATCCTTGTAGGATTTATGATTACGCTGACTAATCCCCAATATATCCTAATATGACCTGAATTAGGGTTTTCTTACTTGCGAGACAAGTGTATCTTCAATGGGCTTAAGCCTAGCCTATCGGAGTAAGGCTGTTGGTCTACGCTTCATGGGCTATGGGCATTCCAGTTAACCTTGCCTCCCAAGGTGCCACGTGTCATGGTTCCCAAAATCATGGTTCTACTATTGCCCCTAACTAGGCTTCTAAGAGTATACTCAGCTTTGAAGATGGATGGTTACCCATAGGCCATGCGTGAATCATCTCGGAATAACACCTCCAGAATGTGCAATCGGGTCATGAGGAATACGAACCCAATATTTTGAATGAAAGTACTTACTAAACAAGCTTCAATGTTTTAAAAAAAGTCGAAACAAAAACTGAAAATAAAATCGTTATCAAACCGTCCATTATTTAATCTTGTGCTTAGTTTCTTGGAGGTTAATTTCCAAGACATGACGATTTTGCACTGAACCTGTTTATGTTCATTTAGATACATGTTTAAAGTGGATAGTTGTTAACGATTGTGTTTCCTCATGGGAAGATATGTCAACACTTTAAATGCCTTCATCTAATTTCTGCCCACAAAATGACAAATAAATATATACATACAAAATTAAAGACATTATGTATTTAGTGGAATCTAAAGTCGGCTAATTCAAATCCAACGTGTGCGTTTTGTGGTTTGCATAGGAAATAATGGATAGCAAATATGAAATGCTCAATCAAGGCGGGAGAAGAATTGTGTGGCCTTTAGCTTTTCAAATAAAAATTCAAGAGAACTTTTTCTTTCCAACTGATTTTGATGTTAGAAAACATATTCAGCATTGGTTTCTGAATTACGGATAACTGTACCTTTGTTTCATAAATTATTGATTACTTTTCAGCTAAGATGGTCATTGAGATTATCATAACTCTTCAATTTCGTTCGTGAGATTTAAAATCGATAAAAGTGATTCCTGAGATTGTTCACCGTCAATCATTTTGGTCCTTCTGTGAAAAATTTCCATTAAATTGAAGAACAATCTCAAAAACTGCTTCTATCGATTTTATATCTTAGAAACCAAAGCGTGAAATTTTGCCAATCTCATGGATCATTTTGGATAACTTTATTCTCAATGTTATGTTATGAGTCATTATAAATTCCTAGTTATGTATAAATATATGAGTGAATTGATAGTCTAATAACATTACATGTTAAGACAATTTCGGCAAAACAACATGTACTTTTTCGAGTCAACTATTTCACGGCATTTATAAATTAGCCAATCAGTTAAACTCCAGGCAATCGGATCTCAGCTGATTAAAATGATAAAGAAACATGTAAGAAATTAACAATTTGAAAAGAAGATTTAGCGTTCCATTAACCCTAATAAAGGGTCTTTGTTTTTTATTTAACAATAATTAATTAAACTGGGTGGCTTTTGTTAGTTGCAACCTTATCTCTTCTCCAAAGTCTTTACCAGCAAGAAAAGTGGCATTACCACTAACAACAAAAGCTTCTAATTGAATCAGCCCAACATTATATATTGTGCTATGGATTGGATAGGAGGACCAATTTTTCCAACAGGACTCGGCATTATTTTTTAAGATTCGAAAGGCATCTCTCTCTCTCTCTCTCTCTCTCTCTCTCTCTTCACACACACACACAGTTACACAAACACACACACTCAACACGCAGAGGATTGAAAAATGTAACCTATAAAGAAAATGGAGCCCATAGATCTAGCCCGTCTGAAGTTAAAACCGCACCCGATAAAGGAGAAATTCTTCTGTGTCCGGACTAGACCGCGTGTCCCGACGGGTCAAGAGACAAAAATCATCATCTATCCCATTCCCTTGATTTCGTTAGGTTCACCGTTCTCATTTTGTGTCTCACTCCTTCTCACACCACTCATAGCCCACCACATTATTTGACAAAACAAAAAAAAAAATCACAAATTCAAATATTACAAGTAGTACATTACACTAAAGCTAACAACAAAACCAAGCCTCCAATAACAAGGCCATTGTTAGTTGAAGACTTCACGTTTCTTCGAACACTTCCAACGAAAAAACTTTGAGAGTTAAATACTGACCATAATGCTTGAGCCTCAGCAGTTCTTGGCTTTCTCTATCTGCATAGACATAAGCATATGTATCAAAAGGAAAAAAAGTCTTATACTCTTCACTAGGAAAAGTGAATAGATATACAAAATCGAATAACGTACACAAGATGAATTCTAAACTTTTCTAGAACATCCACTGTCTATTAATTACATAGGTTTCTCTGTTCACAGCACAAGAAATAGTCTATCTTATTCACAAACGAACAATTAGCTTCTCATACCAACTTTTATATACCCATATGCATTTCATGTGGCAAAAAATCTAAGACCTCACCACAAAAGCAGCCTGAAGATTAGAAATCATAACCGGGTACTCTCCCTTCTCATCATATTCAACAAAATCCTCAGGCACAAGTCAGTGTTCTCAAAGTTTGTGCCATTCGACTACAAAAGAAAAGAACACTAGTTTAAGTTTACATAAAGATGCAATACAATTAAATTTGGTGACAAATGTTATTACAAGAGACGGGGTCAAAAAAAAAAGTATCTCGATTATCTGCAGTTCCCACATCTTGAATTTGTTGTTCTCATAACATGATATCTAAAACTACTAACCATAAGACATTTATACAAAAGCCTCATTCATGAAATATAATGATATATTTATACGAAAGCCTTACCAAGTTATTAGGAGATTCTCGTTCAATTCATTATGTACATTAACAACAATATTGTTGTTTGTAGTAGTATTGATAAGAGGGCCTGAAAACTTCCCATTAACTACTATAACCTGCAATCAAAATTCCAATAAAAACAAGTAATGCAAGTCAAAATTCTGATGTACTTAAATAATTGCTCAGACTCCAAACAGAAAATTTTCCCGACTTTACGGCTTTCAATTTTCCCGACTTTATCTCTCAATTGGGAAAATTTTAAAACCACTTAGCTGTGGCGCGCGCGGGGGGAAGTAAATAATTTTAATATCCACAAATATTATCAAGGCGCTAACAAAAATAAATAAATAAAAAAACATCAAAAACATCAACCACGGGCCGGATACGTGCTGAAATTTAAAAGCAAGCACTACACGTGGTGATTTTTGATAACTAAGGACAAAACTGATTAAAAGCAACCCGATGGTTAGTGCATGATGATTTGCGACGATTGGGTCTTATTCACATGGACTATGATTTTTTGAAACTTAAGAATTTCATTAATAAATAAACCGACGGACATCATCGATATGGAATACAATTTCAAGATTACAAATGCACAACACAACAAAACTTCACTCACTTCTAACCTAATAAAAGATAATGCTCATAAGAACAAAATCGTGCATTACTTTCTAATGAACTTGCAAAGGACAACAGTAGTACTTTGACAAAGAAGCCCTACTCTGAGTTATCAGGAAAAGATCCCTATAGTCCTTTACCAAATCAGCACATAACAAACTCCTCAGAAATACAATTCTTCGATCACAAAAAATCCATACCTAACTAACAATTTAGATAAGCTTACAAGGCCTAAACCTTAACGGTTGGATTCAACACCCTCCACGCACATAAAGTAAACACAATACTATCAGTTAAGTACATGCAAAGACAAACGACAACAAACACGCCTATGAATTCCCTTAAACCCGCAATGACACCACAAGGGAAAGATCTGACCGCCCCCTGATTATTTTTTAATCGTTGAGTAGCGAAACACACACACACACACACACACACACACACTCTGTCCTTAATTGTTAGAGAAAGTTAACAAATGTATGGACAAATTAAATTGTCTTAAGCCCCTGTAAATAATATTTTATTCTTTAGCATTTCTTTGCTCTTAAAATTGTGTGCTATTAGTAAGTGGTAAATTGTCTTAATGATTAGAATCCATCTCTTTAACCAACTACATTATGAATTCAAATTTTCCCTCTCTCCTTAGTGTGGAATATCATGTAATAAAATCAAGTATTAACAATTATAATCTATTGTTTGCTTGCAATTTGTTCCAAAAAAAAAAAAAAACAAACAAACAAAATTTTTAAACGTTGGTCTTTAAACAAAAGTACATTTTGTTGATAATTAAATCAATTAAGCGTTTGAACATACTAGATTTATTGGTATCATTAAGTAATGCGAGTTCTATTTTGCTAAAGCCTAATAAAAGTCGCTTACACTGCTTTCGAGTCATGGGGTATATGGTCGTTATCCACCATAATCTCTAATTACGTATAATTCCGTGACGTTCACAGGCACTGTGCTTCTATAGTTCTATTGATTTTTAGTTTTAGGGTTTCTTTTTCCTTTGTTTTGGGGCCCAAGATTTTTCTGGTTCTAATTGAAGGAGAATTTTCGAATGAAATTGTCCTATGTTTAAAGAAAAGTAACTGTAATAGATATCCAACTTGACGGGTCGTAATAGATGTCCTATGTTTGATTTAAACCCTAACCAATATTTTGCAACAAATGATAACATTTTTACAAGAGAAATTTTCTATATTAATTTCAATTCTTAAGTCTCCGTTCAATAACTTTTTTTTTTAAGTTATAAAAAATAAAAACTGATTAAAAACAAAAAAAAATTGGCATGCGGTAGAACCCTAACAAAAATGTTCGTCTCCCGAAGATACATTCCTTATTTTGTAGTAGTGCTTACGTCAATTTTGTAATAATGCTTACGTCACTCGACTATAGATTCCACTCTATGATCAAATTACTCTTGGCGTGAATTAATCTTTCTGTATCAATTGACTCGTTGTTATTCACCAAATTACTTTGAGCTTTGTTTCTATACTAGTTGGCTTGAGCTAATTTTGACAAAAAAAATTATCATTAGTGTGTGTTGATCTTTCTAGTCCAAGACTATATTCCTTATTTGTATAACTCTAAACCACCTTTGTACCTTCTTAAGCAGCAGAAAACATTCATTAGAGTTTCCTTACTGCTCTTAAACGTATTTCATATCATGTGATTTACAAAGAGATAATCTTTTTGGGTAAATACCACGATTGAGGAGGAAGGTGTAAAACAACCAACATTGTGATTCATAACGTGCCACTTAGCCTCGTGGTCCACAAGTAAAAGAGAGGGATATTATTTTTGGTGGGTCAATTAGGTCACGGAAGCAACTGAAAGCCAAACTAAAAGAAGAAAAGGTAATGTGGCAATTAAAAAAAGTTATTTGAAGAAAAAAAGAAATGAACTAAAGCAAGAGAAAGTTAGGTCTTACTTGGCACATTCTTAGTGAGTAAGAAATTGAGCCTGGAATCTAGAGGACAGCGATATGGATTTGTATCTGAGTTTGCCACCTGGAGAACTCCATTAGATGGACTGTGGAAGTCAAGAACCAATAATTTCTAAACATTTTTCCAAATTATTTTCCCACTTTTTCTTTTAGTAACTTTTAGTTCAAAGCATAACAATACCTAATCAAAGTTCACAAGAATGTGCTAGTATGATACTAACAAGGTCTTTGCAATTAAGTTACTCAAAAGATATGCAAGAAAAATGTCATGAGAAGAAAGAAACGAACATGGAACATCTTCCACCACTAGAAAGAATTTTGCCGATATGCAGTTGGTATTTTCATGTTTGTTTGTATTACAAGGGAGAGGGGAAGGAGGAATCAAACTTAGAAAGTCGGGAGCATAACCAACTAAACTCTAATTCCACCGCATGCTATTTTCTTATGTTTTTTTTTAACAAATGATATTATTTACACTAAAAGGGAGGGAGAGGGTTTAACCTCACAATAGACTAGTAATAATGTTGTTCAAACTCGTCTTTAGGCCTCTCATTTACAAGTAAAGATGAATACCTTTAGACCATAGCACTAAGTGGCTTTATGTTAATTGTGAACAACTTAACATTTACCTTAGCAAAAAAAGTATTTAATTTAGGGTTTAGGGGCCAAGGTCGAGAGTTCAATTCGGTTAAATCAATTGGAGAAAAAGAAAGAAAAATAAAATATTCTTGTCAAATATTTGTGTAATTTATTCCTAACGTTTTTGTCCATGCTCTTTTATATCTAAATCCTAGTCAAGTGTACCATATTCCAGAAAATCATCCAGCAGGATGATGGCCTTAGTATAATGGAGCCTTGGATAAACCCTCAACTTGCAGTTGCAGATTTAAAATAAAGCAAAAATGAATGGGAATATAAGAAAAAGAAAAGGCTAGTCTCCTAAGAATTCATAAAAATAAAAAAAAGAGGTTATATCTTCCCCTGGCCTATAAATACAAAGCCTGCACCATGTAAAGTGTTCAACAACAACAAAATCCCATCTCACACAACCTTATATTTCCCCTCCCTCTCTCTCTTTCTCTCTAAAACAACTCTGATTCCACTGCTTTCATGCTTCCGGTGATCAAAATCCTCATAAAATCTACTGCTCTGATAGTAGTGCCCCTACTGGCTCTCGTCAGGGACATGGTGGGTTACGAATCCTCTATCAAAACCCGAATCCTTTTCGAGTGAGAAACGCAAAATCTTCGAAACCCTTTTCCGGATTTTTCATTGATTTCTCTCACACAACTTCACTAACAAAATGGATTCAGTCAATTTTTATGACATCAAAACTGAGAAGGCGAACGCAATCTTGAAATACCGCCAGCTTCGAAAACTCGCAAACTTGTTTCGGTTGATTGAGGTGCTTGCTTTTCTGCTCCTGCTTTCCAGGTTTTCTGTCCAACTCCCTCATGCTGTCAAGAACTCTGGCTCTTACTTCAAAGACATATCCGGCTTCATGGTAAGTCCTCGCTTCGTGTTTGTCATTGGAAATGTAATAGTTATCGTTCTCTTCGCGAAGTCGGGCAGATTTTCAGCTAAAGACTCGAGCACAGGCAGCTTGGGCGATGATCTTTATGAAGAGTTTGTTCAGAACAGCGAAAAAAATCAGAAACTTCGTGGCGATGTGATTGAGTACCAGGCTGTGATTGAGTACCAGGCCATAAAAAACACACCTAAGGATAGTATAGTTTCTGAGCAAGCTCCTCAAACTTTGCAATTCAAGAACTTCACAAGGAGTCAGTCAGAGAATTTAGAACGCGAGGTTTGCAAGAGCTCGCGGCGCTTATTGAAACGATCAGAGACAGAGAAGTTCAAGAAAAACGTTCAGCCTGGTGGGAAGCCGGCAGGGAGTGTGTATCCTGAAGACGGCATGAGTAACGAGGAGTTTCGGAGCAAGGTTGAGTCGTTCATTGCAAGGCAGCAGAAGTTTCGACTGCAAGACTGTAAACTAGGGTGAAATATGGGGAATCTCTGTTTATGTTTCTTTTTTTCTTCTCTTTGGGGGATTGTGGGGTGTTTCTATATGTATTAGGACATTGCTATATCAAGCATGCAATGTAAATCTACTGTAGTTCTGTTCATATGTCACTCTAATTATTCTCCGTTTTTAGCAGAAGCAATTATGCCACTGATTTAGTAATTTTGTCAAAAATTACTTTTAAAACAACAATTTTCTCTGGTCATGTTTCATGGCTAGGATTTGGATTCGACAACTCACTATGGTCAGGTGTATTGAAGGAAGAATTAAAAGTCGACTTCCAAATTTTGTCCAAGGCGGAACTTGAGTAAAAGATGGATTAGTCATGAATGAAACCTTTCCCTTCCAATTCCCATATAAAATGGTGAGATTTCACTCTCACTAACTAAATATCCAATCTTCAACTTGGACAAAACTTAGAGGTAAAAGTCGGCCTTCATTTCTTACTTCGACATACCTTAAATCTAATAAATTAACTAATATGATCTAATTTTAGACACCAAACATGACATAGGGGCAGTAAAATAGATAACGTAAGCATACATCTCACTCACAATCAAAATTCGCCTCTTGCTTTAGTTCTCCATTTTTACCAAAACCAAAAGTTGTCCAAGTGGCATGACTTCCAAGCATGTGCCAATAGGCCAAAACCAAATAGGTAATTCCAATTTTAAGAGAATAAAATTGCAGATAATTAGAGAATTTTCCAGAGGTGTTTGGTATAGCATCATTGCAAAGAATGTATTCCAAATTCTGTTCTAACACATCATTATGAATCAATTCCAAATTTTCTTGCTTTGGGGGGGATGGATTGGATAAGTTAGGAGCATAAAGTCTGATGAGTTTTTCCTATAAAACTGAAACAAATAGAGCAAACTGTAAAGCACTTCCTAACACAAACCAGAGTAAGAGGGACATCCACCTATACAAAGCACTAACTAAAAAAATCTTTGCCTTTTCAATAGCACTAACTATATTAAATTTTGTTAACCCCACTAAACTATAACCTTATTGGATTACCAATATGTTAAACATAATTCACAAGAGTGCTAGATGTTACTTGTATTTTATTAAAAGCAAAATTTTGTTTTGTAAAATTACTTTACTGTTTTTAACTTTTTTGACGTGATATAAGATAAATAGTGTTTTTACTCTCTTTATGTTGATAAAGGGGTTCTTTAATAAATAGTTTAGATAATTTACAAAAATTAAAATTAAAATTAAACCTCTCTCTCTTCCCACTCTCATGTTTGCTCTCTCACTTTCTTCCTCTCTCCTTCAATTAAAAAACAAAAATAAAAAATTTTACGCACTTTGTGTGTGGGCATATACTAGTATATAATAGAATTGGTAGACTTACTATTAGTGCTTGGTACAACTACAAGCTAGGGAGTATATTTTTTTTCTTTTTTTTTTTTTTTTTTTGGTGTCGGAAACACGGTCCAGTATACCAACTATCATAATATAAGTCGTTTCAAATTTTCATTTTCAAGTATCCAACCACTTGTATAATAACGCTTGATATATTGAGCTATGTTCTAAGTACACTTAAAAATCTATCCAAGCTAAGAGTTAGAGAAAAGATCTTCAAGGATGTTCTTGCCACATAGCAATGTCAAAAGTACTTATCCAATCAAAGGTGACGTGTGTATAACTAATTAGGAGTCAATATGGCCTGCATAGGTTGAGAAAAGATCTTCAAGATCTGTTTTTCCAATTGGGGTAGCGAAAGAAAGCATGAGAAACCAATCACAATGCCACTCAATAGCTACAAAGGTACGTTTAATAACTATTTTGTTTTTTATTTTTCAAAAACAAATTAACTCTGAATTTCAATACTGAAAGCTACCGTTTTGGACTGTTTGATAACTATTTTCACTCATAGTTTTCAGCTTTTTTGAAAACTAAAAAACTTGTTTGGTAATATTTTAAAAAACATGACCAAAATGATCGTTCTGAATGCCAAATATTTGAGAGGTATAAAAAGATCAGCAATCTATCAACCAAAGAAAATTGATGGTATGTTTCATAGACTCAAACCAAGAATCAAGCAGCAAAGAATTGAGGAGACCAACCAAATGCCAATACAGCACACGATTGTAAAACTCTCTCACATTTTCTTTACCAAAACTTAGAACTTAGTAGCCGAAGCCGCTAGTTCCAGAAAAACTGAAGATGGAAGTGATTCTCTGCACAGTTGGTCCTGAACTCGTCTCTATCAAAACCTCCCTTGCATCATCAGCTTAAACAGCATCTCTGGACCATATCCTGTACGGTTGGCCATCAATGTAATCCGCATAAATGATTCCTCTGTCTACTCCAATCATAATCGACTCATTCAGCAAAAGCAAGTCATTGAAGTGTATAATTGCCCCAAACTATAGTAAATTGTAAAAACTAAGCAATAGAACTGTCTAGGTATGCATAGAATGGGGACACGACACACGTTTCTTCCAGAGCTTCAGGTACCATCTTTCTTGCCGGCCTGACAATCACAAGGAACATTGTCAATGACATATGCACGGAGATGACCTATTTTCTTTGTAGTTTCAGTGTTTGGTTGCTAAGCATTAGAGACATTCCTTCCAGAATTTTGGAAAAGCAATAGAACCACGACTAGCAGATTAGTTTCCAATTACTCAATTGAAGTAAGAGAAGTTGACACAGTCACTCTCATCCCCCATTGTAGAGGCCATACTCAAGAAACTAGGGCCGCTAATCGATCCCTTTGTTTACCTACTTTTAAAACTAAAAAAGAAACCAACATTACAAGTTGGATACACACCTATGCGACATTCATAATCTGTAAACTCCACAATCAGCCATCTTTGTGGATTCTCAAATATGGACAATGCATTCTTTATCCTCGCCAAGCAAATGCTAACCATCAGTTGGACAATCATATTCCCATGCTTTGTATACCATACTCTTGTTTCCGGAGTTGCACGACTTGTCTATTTAAAATCCCTTGGTATTCCAAACTACAAAAGACCCCTTGTTTGCAAACTCACATGGATGGAAACCACTCATAGCCTTTCCCATGAGTGCCATAGCAGCAATGCTTGGAAACTGCTTCTTCTGAAACTCATCTACTTTTGGCTTCAAACATTGTGATTGAAAAGCAACCACTGCCTCAGACTTCTTTTGGGATGCTACTTTAGACCACCTCCGAATCCAAGGATGAGAGAGCGTTATATTTCGACCTTTCCCGGTGGAGTCAATGGGAGATGACTCATGATTCCTTAATACCATTGCAGTTTGATCTGGCACCATCTGTTCTTTACCAAGAAATCTGCCGGTGGCAGGTTGTGAACTAGTCATACTGCACTTTATAATTGTGTTTGAAGATTTCTTGACCTTTTCACATGAAGAGGCTTCTCCCATTTTTGAGCTTTTTGTACCATAAACAGGCTGAGAAGCCGTCAACTTGAGCCGTTTAACCCACCTGCTGCTTGGTTCTGGTCCCTGAGATCCTTCTGGACATGCACTGGATTTTGAATTTGTGGGATGCTCAGCATGGGAAAGGAGATGTTCGACATCCAAACTCTGGGTTCTTGAAATGCTCGTCTCCCTTTCTTCTGCTGAATCAGGAAGCTCTTGATTTATGTCAGGTAATTTTGTGTATGGAAGTCTAGCTCCGTTCTCTTCTCTACCTGAAGCGATGGCTGATCGAGATTTTGGTGACTTCTTGCCACTCTCAACATGCTGCAAAATTCAAAAATCAGAATGGCAATTTAGTGCTATGCTAAGTATATTATTAAATTCAGTTAAACATAGTGTGATCCTTTAAAAGCCAGTTTCCTGGGAACACAACATAAAAGGTGTTTTGGATGAACAAATATTGATTCCAAAACTATGTTACTAAACCAATATTCCCAAAAGCAGAATTATATAAGTTACCTTATCTGATGCGGATACCTCCACACCTGATACAAGAAGCAAAACCCATTATTAGCCGAAAGACATGATGAAACAATAATACACTGAAAACTTATAATATTTTTATACTATATGAACTTAGTGATAATTACTTTTTAAAACACAAGTTAATCCAAGCATGATGCTGTAAAAGCTAAATAGCCTACACATTTAAGATGGTATAAATATTGTTCAACAAAGTTGAGATTCCTGAAATATTACCAGAAAGAAGGTTATCCTGGAAAGCATCCATGTCCATAATATCTGTTTCAGATGATGATTCGAGTGCTTGAGCCTTGACAACTCTTACATCTTCCACTCCATCGGTATCTGTAGAGCTCCTGTAAGGTAGCAGCTTCAATCTAGGTTGAGGAGGGAGACCATACTCCGTGGAAAAACCAAAAGGATCACTAAAAGCTTTTCCCTTCAATTTTGTTGATACAGTTGACTGTCCAAATATTTGACCTACTTCAGGCAAGTTAACACCAGTCTTTTTCGTGATCTGAAAATGGTGAGCTGTCTTTGAAAACATAGGAGGACCCCTAGATAATTCTTCATCAGCGTTGACAGTGGAGCATATTCTCATAGTCTCTATGTTATGCACAGAACGCTGCAGGCTTGGCAGAGATCCGGATCCGTGAAATACTTTTTCCAGTCTGGTCACCTCTGGGGGGCTGGCGTGGCTTGAAAGCAATCCAATACCAGGCTGATTTTGCATTTCTAGGAAATTTTTACCAAAATAATTTGGTTGCTGCATGCTGCTTGTGGAGGGGTCGTGCTGCAACAAAACCATATCATTCTGCCTTGGCAATGAACCCCCTGATCTTTGAGAGACAACATTGTTATGGAAGTTATTCTCATGGGCCAACAATGTGGAAATTGCGTGATTACAAGTGTTTGTGGCATGTTGTCGAGGTGCTAGAAGGGAGTTGGATAGATTAATTTCCTCTTCACTACACAGGAAAGATGACAAAGAAGTCCGCCCACCTTTAGATTGATGCGGCACAATTTTGGAATCTGATCTCATTGATTCATCCCGAAAAGATTTGGAATCAGCTAGGCTATTGTTCTCAAGAAAATTATGATATTTCACCTGTCGCTCTGGAGGTGGTGGGGCGGCTTCCAGAGCCCATGCATCAGTAGGAATCCAGACAGGCATTGCCGGTGGGCTACTCTCACCAAGTAATCCCCCATGGAAAGTAGAATTGTCCTGATTCAGTTGAGCCACACTAGTCTTTGGAGGAAGATTGAACATTGGAAAGGACTGGCCTTCCCATATCTCCTTCCTTGTTTTCTTTGAACTCTCTGTCAAACCGAGGCCCTCATCGATATTTCTTACTCTTTTCGGTTCAGTTACTTCTCCGAACCCTCTAAACAAGGAGTGTTTCTTAACACCATGATTGTGTTGTTGGGCCTCCTCATAACGAATCGATACATGGCCACACGCTTTGGTTTCTGACTTACAACTTGTGCACCTCCAATTAGCCATCCAAACAGATTCATAAGGATGTGAAGCTAGCTCACTAGTTCCTTCACCACCATGATAAGATCGCACAACCGGATCAGACATGATAAGTAGACTTATAAACTCTACCTAATTTCGAAAATATCAAGTTGATCTCATTGGCATATCAGAAATCACCTAAACAGCCAAGACACCCCAACAACTCATCAGATTCCATATTTTCATACGTTATATCAAAATTAATCAAATTCTAAGCCTTGAAAATCCAATACGTATATAAAGGTTTCAAATTTATGCTGAGAAAATTCACATTCTTTTTCCCAGATTATAACTGTGAGGGGAAAAGAATAAAAACAAACACTTCTGGGTATTGTTCTTGTTGCTAAAGACACCCACTTTTCAATTTTTGTTAATGCAGGCACCTAAAATTCCAGGATTTTTTCACACAATAATTGCAACCAAGTATATAATTTCATCATCTATAAATTAAAAGTTAAAAAAACAAAATGAGATTAAAAGAGAGAATTGAAGCTAAAGTTACCTCCAAAGGTGAAGATCCAGAGGTGAAGATGGTAACCAAGGCTGCCAGATATGAGAGAGTGAGAGAGAGGTAGCAATTAACCCAAAAGAGAAAAGCTTTTATAGAGGATGAGAAGGAGAGGAAGAGGAATGAGCATCTGAAAGCCGAGGCTTGACAGTGTTTGCTCAGCCATATAGCCACAGCCACAATATGTGAGCTCCGGCGGGGGAGGGACCCAATTCACTTGCGCTTTTTCTATTGGTTCCTTCTCTTTTCATACTTTTTCTTTTGTTTATTCGTTCAATTATTTGATAATATTGCATATATCTGTTCATAAAAGTATGTACGTGAATCGTTTTATTTGGAAATTAGGATAGAACGGGACCCATTTATTTTTTGTTGTTTTTTTAACATCGTGGGATGTAATAAACGGGTTTGTAACGCACAACAAATATGAGTTTATGGTTAATTTGGATTTAATAATTGACACAACTGTTAACTTGTAATGACATTCTACTTGGCAATTATTTCTCTTCTTGCGATACTTACTAAATTAGAAGATATAAATAGGGGATTTTGGGAATATTTTGAAGCATATTGGCGAACTTACATGAATTTTCACGAAGCATTAATAAATAATTTAAGAGTTAAGGGAAAAGATTTAACATAATGTGTTATCGTGTTTTGAAAGTTACGACACTTATATAACACATAGATCAAGAAGCCTCGAAAAGTAGTTTTCAATCGTCAAAAAACAAAAAAAAAACAGATATGATACATTCTCGTGTACTCAACTTTTACCAAGAGTCTAGAACTTTAAAAGAAAAAATAGGAAATATTATAAAAATAGTAGGCCTTGTATGGCGAAGTTACACGAACCTTCACAAAGCATCAAGAAGTAATTCGAGAGTTACAATAAAATTAAAGTTCCCACATTTAATAACTTGCAACAGTTTCATGAAGCTTCAAGAGTTTTGAGAAAAAGGATAAAGACAATACTTTTTTTTGTCGCTCAAAAAATAACTTCATTAAATGGAAAAATCACGAGTACAATTATTTCCAAAGCAGTCAAAAGCATAAGCAAGATTGGCACATCCAAGAAGAATGCATTCCAAAACATAGGTATCTCTAATATTAATTCCTACACTAGTAACAGCATCTACAAGGAAATTGGTCTCCTGAAATATGTGACTCCAAGAAATAGTCTGAAAAGGAGCCGCTAACCTTCTAATATCCTAGATAATTGAATGTATTCTGAAAGGGGTCTTGTACCTGTTTTCAACCACTTCAATGACTAGCTTAGAATCACCTTCCACACAGACATTCTTGAACCCCTTATTTCGTGCAGCTTTCAGTGTTGGAAATGTATCCTAAAGTAAATCATAAGATGATACCTTACGAACATTTAACATATTATGCTAATCTAGTTTAATGTAATGGCAAATATTATTGTTTAAAGCCGTCTCATCAAATGTTATAAGCTTAGACAATAAGTCCAAGGTATATGTAATTAAAGCCGTCTCATCAAATGTTATACATATCATAAAACGTTCCTGATCATAGGATTACTAATTGGGCATTGATAATCCGGATAAATTTATGCCTTCTTTCTCAGGAAAGTGACTAGTCTCGAGTCATTGGTGTGAATGACACCAAGACAAGTATGTAGATGCTCAATAGAGAGTGAGTATGTTGAACGCAATCAACAATGAGTTCTCGTAGTCATGTCACACGAGAACTCATAGTTGGGATAATGCAAAATAGTCCCTTGACTTGAGACATAATAGTTGTCTTGTGGTTAGGTTCTTAGTCTTTGATTGTGTTAAAGGCATTTCATTTGAGGATGTCCACGGCATAGTTGGGCTAAGGTACTTAATCATGTGAGCATGTGAATGTACAATAAAGGATCTCTAACTTTCAAACTGTTGAGGGAGAATACTCTATGATATAATTAAGAATCTTTTGTCAAAGTATGGATGAGATTTAGGAAGTCATTCCAAATCACATTCAAGGTAATCACATAGGCAAGAGAATCACACTGGATAGTAGGCATGAATGAACTATCAACCAAACAATGTGATCAAGAGTATTGAAATAGAGAAAGACCGTATTGCATTGTAATCCCAAATTGAATAAGTTCTCCAACCTCTTCTGATTAGCTTGGGTGCCATAAAATACTAATAGGTGTCACTCATGGTTTGTGGAAGCCCTGAAGATGTAGAATCACTAAGGCAGAATTGAAAGTAAGTTTCAATTCATAATCGATTAGTAAGAGTTTTAATCATCCACTGCCTTGCTAAAAGGAGCCTAATGAATTGCAAACTGTGTAAGGTAATGATTGAAAGATATAATGAAGATGAGTATGAACAATTAAAAAGTTTAATTTTATAAGGCAAAGACAAATTCAAAGTTAATTAATTAAAGAGGAAAGGTTCGTATTAGGCCTTAAGTTAGTTTCGGGTTTCGGGACCCAAATGGGTTTTGGTTCACAAGGCACATAAGCTTTAAGTTGTTTAACAACTAAAATAAAATGAGCAATTACCCTAACTAAACACACCAAGGCCAGCCATGCCAGAGGGTTAGTGATGGTTCACTTATTACAATTTTTGTCACTCACTTAGAAATGGGTAAAAGGCAACTTTATAGCCTTAACCTCATTTGGGTCTCTTTGAGGAAAGATGAGAAAACATTTTCTCTTTTCTCCCTAGAGAGACTGACCACATGGGGGAGGGGTTTTTAGCAACTTCTTCCTCCCATGCCACTTATCTTCTTCCTCCTATGCCACTCATCTTCTTCCTCTCATGCCACTCATTTTCTTCCTTCACTCATCTTTGGGTTTGAAACTTAGAGGCCCTTGACTTGGGGGCTTTTGGAGAACCCATTCCTTCATCCAAATCCAAGATGACAAGGAGCCAAGAAGCAAAGTTTGTCCATCCATATCCATGGTGCCAAGGAGCAAGGATGCAAACTAAAGAAGGCATTCTCATGCGTGATTAACCTTTGCTAAGCAAAGAGGTGTTACAAAGGTATAAAGTTTCTTGACTCTCTTTGTGATTTGAGTTGAGTCTTGGTTCACCACCACTACTAGACTTTAAATTTCATGGTTTAAATTTTGTTTTAGATTGCATACAAGCATGCTTCTACCATTTAATTGTTAAATGCATGTACCATATTCTTCAATGAACTTAATTTTCTTCATTCAGAGCATCTCGCAACGCCAGAGCCTCCACAACTGAATTTGTGTTTTCCCCATTACTTCTTGCACCCGCAACAATAGGATTCTATTTTCATCTCTAATGACAAAGCTAGCAACAGCCTTGTCAACCACCACGAAGCCATCAAAGTTTATCTTTAAAGTGTTCGGTTCTGGTGGTTTCCATCTAATATTGGTTTGGTTATTATCCAGCCCCCTCTTCATTTCTTTTTGGTTGGCCTGAAAATGTTCTTTCCCCACTACTGCAACCAGCATTGGAATTTTGGTAGGGATAGGTTTCGTATTGCTAAAAATCAAATTGTTTCTCTCATTTCAAATTTTTTGCTCAAAAAATAACTTCGTTAAAGGAAAAAAAAAAAAAAAAAAACAACCAGAGTACAAAGTTCCAAAGGATAAAGACAATACATCCTCACTTGAGGGTAAATATGCCTTTAACTCTCATGTTTTCGTCTTCCATTGGAGATGTTCTAGTATTTTCACTTTTATTTGAAAGTTTGCAACATTTTAGGGAAAATGTCAAATGTGATGGATCTTATTAAGATAATGCAACAATGCTTGTGTTCCCCTTATGGGTTAACTTATTTATCCACCACTTGGAATTAACGAATCTTAGCTGTATGAACATCGTTACCAGAACCGTTGATTATTCTCTTTATCATTATCTAAAGATCATATTTGCAAAAAAACCATTTGGTTTGGAGATTATTTAGCCATCTATCCGTATCAAACTAATCGACATTTTTAGTAATAAGTAGCATCCTCATGATGAAACCGTTCAATTTTTTTATGCATAGGAGGATCTCCAAATTGAATGATTTTTTTTTTTTCAGATATGATCTTTAAATGATGATAAAGAGAATGAACTGTTCCTACTATGATGTTCACACAATAAAGATAGGTTAATCATAAGTGAACAGACAAATAGATTCTCTATTGGATCACAAGTTCGTTGTCCCCTATTATCCTATTCATTATTTAGGAAGGAAAGTATGTCACTAAACAAAAATGTGATGGTCACCGTGTCACACACTATATCATTAAAGGATACTACATTATATCCTTATGTATTTTGAACAAAAATGAGGCACACTATAATATTTATAATATTATTATTTCTAGTCTTGGCCTGGCACACCATGTTAACTTTTAATATGACAATAGCAGCATACATATGGCTCAATCCGAAAATATCCTTTCTCCATTGGAAATATCGTCGCTAGTATGTACACAGATCCTCAGCGTCAACAAATATCTAAGGAAATTTGTCATCCAACCGCATAAGATGAATGTGAAAAATGATAGATCCTAATTGTGCAGTAAAAAATAATCTAAAAACATAGAGGTCATACGTGAATTTTTAGATTAAAAAGATAAAATTATCCTCAAGGCATACTGGGATTTCTACGAACATACAACGAACAATAACAGCTCAATTAAGGAATAGTCAAATGTGAGCAATACGGTATTTATTCAAATCCTTCTCATCACTCCTTATCAATCTCTTATTAATTTTATTCAAAAGGTAACTCCCAAATTTTTTTTCTTTAACTTAAGAATAATTGCCATGTTAATTGTAAGATATTATTTCACATAATATCTTACAATTATTCTCCAATCACCACCATATGTGGCCGGCCACTTTCCACCCAAATGGCCGGCTACCCTCCTATAAATACCCTTATTATCCCACTAAAATACTAAGTCATTTGCTACTCACAAACTCCTAAATACATTACTTTCAGAATTCTAATTTTGGCACTAGAGATTCTTTGACCAAAACCCCCCATTCATTGTGGGTGCGTGAGGATTTTGGCCTTAATCATAAGTGTTATTATTTTGCAAGTGCATTTTCATCAAGGGAATAGACAACATAAATTTGCATCTACCCTAATATGTATGTTGATACTATTTTGTGGGGTTTCAGTCTTTATTTTCTTCGAATAATTTATTTTTAAGTTTTACTTTATATATTATGTAT